CGGTATTCAATCGCTCGTTTTGGCCGTACTATAGCCCTGCCATCTGCTGCTGTTGCAGGTAGCTCCTCACAGTACTTCTGCGCTTCGCCTAAACTCCTCTTGAGTTGCAAGACATGGATAACTGGGTGGATTTGTGAGCTTTCTGGTAACTCAAGGCGATAAGCTACTTGACCAATGCGCTTTAGAATCTGATAAGGCCCATAGTAGCGGACTCCCAACTTAGTTGCGGCCCTTTGCGCTGTCGTACGCTGTCTGAATGGTCGTAGCTTCAAGTAGACATATTCCCCTGGCGCAAAATTTTCCTCTCGCCTTTTTCCATCTGTGAAGGCTTTGGTTCGGTTGATTGAACCTTCGAGATTTCTTTTCAGCTCACGTAACATCAAATCTCGTTCCTCTAGTTCACGACCAACCTCATCATTGACTGTACTCCCCTAGGAATAATTGATCAGTGTTGGGGGTTTTCGCCTATATACCAACTCGAATGGCGTCATCTTGGTCGACTCGTGGTAAGTGGTGTTGTACCAATACTCAGCCCATGGTAAAAAGTTTTCCCACCTCTTCGGAAATTGATGGACATAACACCTTAAGTACTGCTCGAGTGTTCGGTTAGTCACCTCGGTTTGTCCATCTGTCTGTGGATGGTAGGCTGAGCTCATAGACAATTTAGTCCCTTGCAACTTGAAGAATTCAAACCAAAAGCTGCTCATAAAAATCCGGTCTCGATCAGAGACGATCGATCGAGGTGCTCCATGTAGTTTCATTACGTACTCCACGAATAACCTGGCAATTGAATTTGCGGTGTAAGGATGGGTAATGGGTATGAAGTGAGCGTACTTCGTGAGACGATCCACCACAACCATAACACCGTCAAATCCATTAGAATTTGGTAGCCCCTCGATGAAATCCATGGTGATGTCTTCCCAAATTGCCTCGGGTACTGGTAATGGTTGCAATAGCCCACTTGGCCGTCGCGAATCAGACTTAGTGCGTTGGCAGTCATCGCATCGAGCTATGTAATCACGAACGGTACTCTGTTGCCCGGGCCAGAAGAAGGTGTTGGCTATTCTCATCCACGTGCGATAGATGCCCGAGTGACCTCCAACCTTAGAGTCATGGAAGTGCTGCAAGATCTGCTCGCGCAACTGCCCACTGTCGGTGACATAGACTCGACCTCGGTGTAGAAGTAGATTATTATACAGGTCGTAGTCGATAGCAGTGGTCTTACCTGCTTCTATCGATTGGCGCAGCTCCAGACAGTGGTTATCCTCTTCTTGCGCCTTCCTGATCTCTTCCCAAATGGCCCAAGTAGGCCCAGTGATCGCACTTAACTCGGCCACGTCTGTTCGTCGGGACAGCGCGTCGGCCACGGCGTTCCGTCGACCTGGTCGATAAATTATCTCAAAGTCAAACCCCATAAGTTTAGACACGAACTTCTGTTGCTCGGGGGTAACAATCCTTTGCTCCAATAGATGCTTGAGCGGTTGTTGATCGGTAACTATTTGAAAACATCGACCTAATAAATAAGGCCTCCAGCACCGTACAGCCTCGACAACCGCTAGCATCTCTTTCACGTACACTGACAGACCTAACCGAGTAGTGCCCAGTGCCTTGCTGAGATAGGCTAGGGGTCGCCCCTCTTGCACTAACACAGCCCCAATTCCAATGTCACTCGCATCGGTGTGTACCTCGAACAAGACATCAAATCTGTGCATGGCGAGTACTGCGTTGTCGTCATAGCTTCTTTTAATTTTCCAAACGCCTCCT